AACTGGGAAAATATAGGACCAAAAAAAAAAAAAATCCAGAATTAAATATTTCTAAGTGGATGAAGAGTATCCTAAAAGTATCCCAAATACCAGCCCTGCTGCTGCTTTCCCTGGGAGTTGTGAATGGAGAAAAGCTCTACCACACGTGAGGTTTAGGGCTGCCCTTGGAAGGTGCTCGCCACGATCCAGAGCACGCTCTGCACCGTGGGCTGGAGGCGTGGAGGGAAGATGGAGCAGGGGATGTGCTGCACCCTGAACGGGGTGCACAAAGGGTGACTCTGCCATGCCACCTGGTGCCGTGTCACTGAGCCCTCCTGTGTCCCTTGGAGCGGCAGGTCCACGCAGTGAGTGCCCTGGTGGTGACAGGAGCTCGGCACGAGTGGTCAGCGCGGTGACACGGCGATGGCTTCGTGCTGCCTGTGTCACCTCTGCCCAGCCCAGGGATGGAGACACGGTGATGGTTTCGTGCTGCCCGTGTCACCTCTGCCCAGCACAGGGATGGTGACACGGCGATGGCTTCGTGCTGCCTGTGTCACCTCTGCCCAGCCATGGGGACAGAGACACAGCAAAGAGCCACCTCCTCCTGGGCACACCATCACCCAGCTACGGCCCCAGCAATGAAATCAAATAAAGAAGCATCAACCAAAGCCCTGCTGTCGCCCCGGTGAGTGTCTGCCAGCTCTGCCCGTGCTGCCACCACTCTCTGTCCCCTCCCCAGCCTCGCTAGCCTGCTGCTCCAGCCCGAGGCAGGCTGGAAGGAAGAGATGATTTAAGGTCCAGCATACACGTAGATACATCGGACTGCCACAGCACAGGAAAAGCACGGTAATACCTAGGAATGCTTCCCTCGATGGTGCCACGACATGGTACACACACGCACACACACAGAAATCTACAGGGAATGCATGGGGATGGCGTGTTGGCAGTGATACAGACCTTGGCGATGGTTCGGGCTGCTGCTCTTTCCTTTAAACAGAAGCAATAGTACATTAGCATGGTGTCAGGTGGCAAAAGATGTTGCTGCTTCACTGTTAAAACATAACGAAACGACAATACCAAACAATACAACTCAGTGGAAGTTGTGGACAGAAGAAAGGGAAAGGAGCACTTAATTCCTGGAGTTTCTGGCCCGGACAGAAGATCACTGGAGACTCACACAACCTCAGAGAAGACACATACAACGCACAGGGTTGAAGAGTTTATCCCAACCCATCCTTGTGCCTACGCACGACTGAGACACCTGAGGGTCGTGTGATTTGTGTGAGCACAGGAGGACTTCTGTGGGCTCAGGGACCGGCCCCCTTCCTTTGGAAACGCACTGCCCTCGTGTTTCTGCACATGGGGAAGGGTCTGAACAGCTCCCATGACCTCGGTGTATTCGCTTTTCCTCCCTGGCCATYGGGACAGAGCTCATGTCAGACCTTYRAATGCACAGATTCACASCGGGTGCTGGGATTGGATGTGGGKGGGAAGGGGCATGGACCCCTGCCCTGGCATCCTGACACCACAGGGGGGTGAATGCCTCCAGAGCCTTTGTCAGCTGCTTCACCAAAGCAGTTGGCAAAAGCCACATGAACAGAACGGGATGCCACAATCAGCGTTTGCGGTTTCCTGCTGAGATACGAACCTCAATTGCCCTGAAAAACCACTGAGGACAAGTGAGCTGAATGCCTACAGAAGGACACTGCAAGCCACGCTAAGGCTACACTGAAAATAACACCTCACCTTCACTGAGCATCGTGGTGGTGCTTCCCTCCTGCAATGAGGAAAACCTGCTCTGCCCTCAGCTGCTCTGACACACTGGGGATGGKGTTTAGGGGGAACTCGACCAGCCCTGCCCCTGCAGCCCCTCAGGGGGAGCAGACTGTTTCTCAGCAGCTGCAGCTCTGCCTCCCCTCTCCCAGGTGTCCCCTGAGCACGATGCTGCACCAGCCCTGGCTCTGCCACTGCYCWGCAGCGACCMCTGAGACCTGCACAGACCCCGACCCTGACCCCTCAGATAAAGGCAGCAGCCTGGAGAGGCTGATGAAAATCTCTTTCCCCACCTCTGCTTCTTGCTCAGAAAAGCTTGGAAGCCCAGCCTCAGTCACTAGCTCAAACCCCCACATTTGAAGGTTTTCAGGCTGACCCAGGGGTCTGTTCTTTGCAGAGGCACACAGCCCAGGSCAGGCTCTATCCCACACCTCCCCAGTGCCCACTGGCACCTCTCCGTCCCTCCCAGGGTCTGCACACTCCCCATTCACCAACAGGGCAGCCTCAACTGCTCAAAAACCCCAAGAACTACCCCTCCCAAGCAGAGGGTGAAGGTGCAGGACTCCTGGCCTTCTGAGGGATTTGTGTAAACTTCGCCACAGTGAATTTAGCAAAAATTTCTCACTGCTGCAACTTTGCCTGCTCTCASTGGAGGGAACGGAGAATAAATTAACACATCATGGGCCTGAGCAGAAAGGTCAGAGGAAAACTGGGATCACTACCTCCATCAGCCCCTCTGAGAATATGACTTTGTGTTGTCAGTCAAGCACCGTGACATTGTTCCAGAGCCAAGTTAGGCTGAAGGAATTCGTGTAGAGCACAGGAGAGGGGTAGGGAGGAGGACACTGAATGACCCATGGGGGACCAGCTGTCAAACCTCTTTCATCTTCAAGGATGTCCATATGCAAAAGGCAGGAAGGAAAAAGAAAAAGAGGAAAAAAAAAAGAAAAATACTGCAAAGTGTGTGCGTTCCAAACTTTCTTAACTCTGCTGCTAACCTGAATGTCAGTCCTGACTTGCTCTTCAGGTTCCTCAGGAGCTCCAGCTGGTTCAGAGGTGGGATTAGTCTAGAAGGAGAAAACAAAGAGCATTAATATCCAGACAGAGCTGATTCCAGTGCCTCCTGTCCCAGTAGCTTCCCCTGCTGCCCCATCCTTTCAACCAGAACCAGCTTTGTGTCCCCAGCAGCTGGGGGACAGCTCGGGAAGGATGGACAGGGGTTTGGCTGCTACTTCCAACAGCGTCCTAAGGCAGAGCAGTGGGGGAAGAGAGAGAAAGTGACAGCAAGAGAGAGAGAGAAACTTGTCTGCACCACTGGGTTTTGAGCCTCCCCAAAGCCAAGCAGCTGCCAGGGTTCCTGGTGGTGTTTTGGCAGAGCTGTGGTCTGGCAGGTTGGCATTGCTAAATGGAGAGGAACTCTAGTTTTTGGGGGAAATAGGAAAACTCAACCCTGCTGCTCTTGGGGATGTGGAAAAGATTGTGGAGCAGAGGAAAGGAGGACCTGGGGTTAGGAGCATCCCAGGAGAAACAGCAATGTGCTCTATGGTCAAGTTTAACCAATTCCCTACTCTCTGTGTCAGTTTTTGCCCCAAAATTAGGCAAAATCTTGTGTAGTTGCCTTCCAGGAACGATGGGGCTTCCTTCCCTTCTCAGTTAAAAAAAAAAATCAACAATGGGAATTCTGGTGAAGAGTTAAAAATCCAATGGGCGAACACCCTGTGGCCTATCCTGCTTTTGTGCTAAAAGCCATGGAATTAGCTCCACATGCATTTTTGGGTTCTTCCCTGAGACCCTGAGCTTGTGCCATAAATATTTAACATTGATATTCACAGTCAGGTTTTCAACCCATAGAAACATAGGCTGGAGGTATCGGGGAGAAACTGGAATAAATGAGGCTCCCAATAAAATAAAGGCWAAGATATCCATGCCCACATTTTTTCATCCATTATGAGATCAATAGTTTCACACTTTAACTAAAAAAAAAAAACCCAACCCAACTGGAAAAGCCTCTTCTCTGCAGTCACAAAACTTATCCTCAAAACCACAGCGGTTCAGCAGAGATTTTGCTTTCACAAGATTGAGGCAATCAGAAAATTTTCCAATTCTAAGTATGGAGAAAAGAATAAAAATAGGCCTGAAAAAATTTTGGCTCAGCTCCCCAGTCGCTTCCATCCAGAGAAAAGCACATCCTGATCTGCTGAATTAATGATCCTCTTCATTCCAGACATGGGGAAGAAGCTGACCTTGCTGCAGTGGAGCCGTGCGTGAGTGCTGGGCTGTCACCTCCCTTCAAACACACCGTGGGGTTTGGAGATGCATTCTGAGATGGGAGAGGTGGCGCATGGAATCCAGCACAGAGTGTTCTCAGCACTTAATGAAGGGTGCTCAGCTTTTCTCTGCTGAATTAACTTCTCAGGGAGGTCCATGCCCAGCTGAACACGGGACAACTGCCCTACTTTCTCCAGCTGGGATTGCAGATCCAGGGCTCTCACTGGTGCAAGATGCAGCTGGGAGATCATTAGCTCAAAAGAGTGAAGGATTCAGGATTCCWAAAGGAATTATTTCTTCTGCATCAGCCCGTGGCCTGCACTGTGCTGAAGGTGGCCACCTCTTGGGCCACCACAGATGCTTCCATGAGAAGGTACAGACACAAAACAAACACAGAAATTCACCATTTCTATGCTTGGTTTATGGGCCTGGTACACTTGAGGTGGAAAATAAGCGGTATTTTACTGAAATAATTATTCTTAAAAATGGGTGAAAACTTACAGATATACTTGACCTGAAATTTAATGTCAACTAAACGCTCAGCCTAACCTGTCACAGCTTGGGGAGCAGCTCCTGCACCACACCCTTTCCCCAGAACCTTAAAAAACAAAAAAAAAAAAGGCAGAACTCTGCACAGCTCTTGAGCTGAGCTCTGCTGTGGAATGCTGGAAGCACGGCACCCTGCCCTGGGGACGCAGGTGCCACCACGGCCTCCAGAGATGTGCAGAAGGAACCTCTGGCCAGGCTCCTCACGTTTTCTCTCTCTCCTCCTGGCCCAGTGTCACTGGTTAGCAAGGGAAGYGCGTTCCGGTTAAGGGGGAGCCGGGTGAGGAGTCTGCACACCACGGGACACACACAGCTCATGCCACCCACCGCAGCAACACTCCTGAGCTGCTGCAGCAGCTGCCCCCAGTGCCTCCACCACCGCCCCTCCCGCCACAGCACGGGGAAACGCCGCGCTGACATCCGTGGGGAAAGGCGGATCCGCCGGTCCTGGGAGCACAGATCACCTACAAGCRTCAGGGGACGGGAGGGAGATCATGCCTCGGGCCAGGACACCACCAGAACCCCACGACACGAGGAGGGCAGCAGCACACGACACGGTGGGAGCTACACAGACACGCCACAACACGCGCACGGACGCCACGATGATTTTTTTGGACAGTCCCAGCGTGAACAGTTAAGGGAGACGGTGACAAGGAGATGGATGCTGGAATGGGATGGAAACTTAAATGAGTCTCCATGTAGTGCTGGAGTTCCTATAGGCAGCCAATTTTTGCCCTAGCCGTGATTTTATGTCTCCAASTGAAGCTATTTTTCATGACTGAGAACATTTATGAAGCTTATAAAATAGTTTATTACAACACGTGGAATGGAAGTAGCACATTCCCTTTTCTCTCCCAGCAGYAGAAAAATGTCTGATTCTCAAAAAAGGCTGTTGCTCAGCCCAACTGGAAAATAYATTTTTAATATATAATATTGCAGTTCATTGATGCAATTTGCTATAAATTAAGCACACAGAGCAATAAGTGTGATTTACTAAGGCTGTAAAACTTGCATCTGTGAAAACTGGAACCGGGTTTCAAAATCAGACACTAAATCACAACAGCTCTAGTGGCATTACTGCGCCTAGTGAGGATTTAAACTGCTCTAGGAACAGAGCTTGGCCTGCAGTCTTGAAATGCAAGTCATTTATTCYCCGTCTTAAAATATTAACTTCACTACACCTTCAGATACCCATCTCATATAAAACACGCCWGTGATTTGCAAATCTGCTCCTTTTTGCAGAGCTTGAGATAACATTATTTATCATCCATCTAACACAGCCATATCCAGGTCTTTGCATTTGGATTGATCCCAAAAGGTTAAGTCTCACATTGAGCAACTGTGGCTAATAATTGCTTAGCTCTAAGTGAGTCTTGGAACTAAAAACTGAAATGGAAAATTCCTGCCGAGATGAACCATTCTTTTCCCAAAATCAGATTGGATTACTCAAAGAAATGAATGATCATATCAGTTTAGCATCCCCCGTTTTTCTCTTCTCCAGGTTTTGCCCTCAAAAGCAGGCACAGCTGCCATGGAGGTTTTATTCTGTGCTACCACTGATGTGCCCACACCAACAAACTCCGAGCCAGAGTTACCAGGTGGGCACAACTCCTGCAGCACAGAGCCAGATAAATGACACAATGAAGGATGGGAGAAGAGGGCTGGAGAGAGGGAACACAGGGGAGCGAGGGCAGAGCGAAATGGAAGATGAATGGGGATGTTTTCTTGCTAAGCGTTGCATGGATTGGGGGAGGTTGGAAAGACCATCAAGAAATCATCCTTAACAAAGCAAGCTTATCAAGCGTGCTCCCATTCTCCTTCCTCACACCATGGCTCTGGCACGGTTTCCCAACCCTTGTGTGTACCAACAGCTAAAATAAATGTACATGAAGGTGCAGGGGGTTAGTCTGTAGCAGCGGGAGGGCGCATCTGCTTTGGGCTTTCACTCATTCCTTGGAAAAAACTCATCTTCAAAGGTTTCTTTCTTTTCTTTTTTTTTTTTTTTTTTTTTTTTTTTTTTTTTTTTTTTTTTTTTTTTTTTTTTTTTTAATTCAAGGCTTTGCACGTTACAGTCCCAAATGAAGAACAAGGAGTGACATGACACACACTTTCAGGGTCACATGCACTTCATACCTGGAGGCACCATACGTTTGCGTTTGCGTGCTTTTCAAGTGTTTTCACCAAAGAAAACCAAAGGGGTAAGDGAAAGAAAAACAGGGGGGAAAGTCGGGGTGGAGGAGAGGGGAAAAGAAACAGAATAAAGAAAATTAGCATATGAACGAAGTGTGTCCCCGGGAGCAGATGCTGTGGCCGGGCTCATGGGTGAGCACGGGCTGAGCTGGCTCCTGCTGCGGGTGGCTCAGGAGCCACGGCACGCCCGTGCCACCCTCGGGGACAGGCAGCTGGCACCTTGCTCTGAGAGCAAACGGGCACCACGGAGCAGGGAAAGTGTGGGGGCCTCCCAGAGACCTTCCATGGGACATCCACAGCCGGGGGCTCCCTGGGCTGGGCTGCTGACCCCGGATGTGCCCACGGGTTTGGTTTTTTTAGTAAAGGCCAATAAGTGATTGCAGTTCAGATCAAGGCCTTGCTCTCATGAGTGACAATAAGAGCAGATTTTTTTACAATAAATCCAGTGGCTGATGCAGAACAGGTTATTTGTGGTATCTGGGCACACCAAGCCACTCATTCATCACAACCCAAACCACACCTGAACACACAGAAGCCTTGCAAATATTTCAAATTTGGTTCTGCCACATTTTGGACTTACAGATGAAATCTGGGATTCTCTCAGAGGCCACCATATTTTCCCCAAACGAGTCAGAGTAGCTCTACTGCAGTGATTGGAGTGATGTTCTGGAGCCATGTGAGCTCCTCCAAGGCATGGGTAACGATTTTCTTGTATCAAGCAGCGAAGCCTTTCCAGAGATGCCTTGGGAAGAGAGATGAGCTAAAGGCAGAGGCTCCTGCTATGAGGAATAAGCAGCTCAGTGCTGAGCAGAAAGGATGCTGAAGTGACTGCAGATCATCCCCAGGCACCAGAGAGGGGAATTTTGTGTTCCTCCAGCYCACTTCCAAACCAGCTGTGCATTCCAGCCATGTCCAGCAGCCATGGCTTTAAGGGGCTGCTGGGAATGGTGTGCTATGGCTGCAGSAGCACAGGGCTGCCAGTGCCTGCCAGCTGGCTTGGGGAAGTGGGGAGGCRAAGAGAGATGGTCAGTGTGAGTGATGGAAGCTGCAGCCAGAACATACAGTAACTCCCTTTTCTCTTTTTTGTTTTTTTTCTTCTTTTTTTTAAGTCCAATTAATTTAATTTACAGCATTCAAAATACAGTCAGAAGGGGTTAATTGCTTTTGTGGTAAAAATGCAATTTCACTATGGGCTGAATCCATTGGGACACTCGCCCAGGTGATGTTCACTTGATCTGTGMACAAACAGGAGCTGGGATTTGAGGGAGAAGCTGGAGAAATCCATGCCTAAGGAAGTCTGGGGTGACACTGCTGCATGGGGACAGTCCAGCAAAATTGTTCCAACCCTGCTACAAATCTGTCCTGGCTTTTTACTTAAGATAAGCAGGCTCTTTAAGCCCCATTTTTTTAGCTCTTTCTCCTCCCCAGCGTTTTTATTTAGCCCTTTCTGGAGATCTTTAGCTTAGTTTTCTTCCCATATATTAGCTCCGTGAAAACACAGGTATTAACAAGCAGGTTGAGTAACAGGTAATCAAAAGGGTATCACTGCATGTGTGGCTGCATGGTAAGTTCAGTATTTCAAAGAGCAATAAAATCTGACAAAGTCCACTGAAAACACGCCCTGAGTGCCCGCTTTTTGCAGTGGACTTTGGGCCAAGCTCCATCCTCATCCTCTCCAGCAGCTGATCCCAGGCAGTGCTGCAAAGSTACAGCCAGAAGGTCAGGTGCTGGGAGGGAGAGCTTCAATGGGTAGGTTTAATGCTATTGCAAAAACAGCTTTGTTCTGTTCTGTTGGGTTATTGTTGTTTTGGGTTTTTTGGGCAAAATGTTGAAGTCAGTTCATCAGTTTCAAGGGGAAAAGCAACCAATCAGACACACACTGGGAATGAATCCAATGGGAACTTACTGACCACAACAATGTGACCTCCAACAGGTTTTTATGATGGATTAAGAGGCTGGCTGCTGGGTTTGAAATGCAGGCTAAAGCTTACCCCGGGAAATACATCCAGGCTGTCTGCCTGAGGGCTAAAAGGCACCAGCAATAGGGGAAAACAGGAAGGGATTATTCCTGCAGTGGCACAGCCCAATGCTGGACTGCAGCCCTGTGKGGGAGCAGGGAGATGGGGCACAGAGAGACCCAAAAAAGCCCACAGAGCTGCAGGAATATCTAACAAACATATCCAACCATTCTGTAAACCCAGAGAGTCATGGACAGCCCCTAAGAATACACCAAAAGGGATGCATGGCCCTGATGCCCAAAAGTGTGGGGTGAAAATGAACAGAACATTGGGCATTTTCTGAGAAAGCCACCGAGYCTAAAGGGGACATGAAGGATGCAGTGCTTCCCCATGTCCTGGAGGATTGGGAGACCTGGCAGGGGACTCTGTCCCCAGCTCCATGAGGCTCCAAATCCCAGAGGGCTGTGAATTCCCACAGTATTGCTCTAAGCTGTGTGTTTTCACCTTAAAAACCTGCCCGGTTTTACTGCAGGTAGGGCAAGGTGGATGGGTGCTGCTGAAACACCATGGTGCTGAGCAGCCTCATCCATCACAGCTCCAGCATCATTCCCTGCTTGTGTCAACACACCAGGATGGATAAATGAATACAAGAAATGGGAAAACGCTCCCTGAATCCTGAGTGATTTTCCTCCTCTTAGAGAAAAAAAGAGGACAAGAAAGGAAAGGAGGACCCAAGGAGAAAGAACCTGGGAGAGTGTCAGGCTGGTCAAGGGAGGGTGAGAASTTTGCTGAAAGGCAGAAGGACCATTAGAGACCAGTTGGACCAGCAAGGAGAGCCTGAGAGGGCACGAGGAGCTGCAGGTAGGGTGAGGGTGGTGTTTACCTATGATCCAGGGCAGCTTGGAGTGAGGTCTTCACACCTGGGCACGGCAACTGTCACAACACAATGCAACTACCAGCAGGCGTGGAGAAATAAAGGTGAAAAGAAGAGCATGTACACACACAAAGACATGAGAAGAAAAAAAAAAAGAAAACACAAAGCAACAGAGAAATTAAAATCAAGTCAAAAAGAAAAACAATGAAAAAATACAAAGCAAAAAAAAAAAAAAAAAAAAAAAAAAAAAAAAAAAAAAAAAAAAAAAAAAAATAAAAAAAAAAAAAAAAAAAAAAAAAAAAAAAATCTACCCTGCCTCCCAGAGAAATTTGCTTTAATGACATTTGCAGAGCCATTGCAGTTGCCAACAACTGATGAAACTTCTTAATTTAATAAAAAAAAAAAAAGTAAATAAATAAGCAAAATTATATATCCAGATAACAAAAATAACTATGGAGACAGTGGCATCACGAGGAAGGCAGTGGAGGAGGAAGCTGGAGGAGGAGGTACCTGTACATGGGGACGGTGACGGTGCGCTCGTAGTACTGCCAGGTGGAGTGCAGGTCTGTCCGCGACAGGTTGGTGGCATAAAATCTCCAGGCCGCCTGTGCAGGAGAAAATCCAGTGGGATGGTGGAACCAGGCATGGCCAGAACCACCCCTGGGTTTGTAAAGCTCAACCAACACCAAGCCCTGTGGGATGGATCCAGCATTTTGCTTTCTCCTCGAGTTGATAAGTGACAAATTTGGGGTGGTACCATGATACCCCTGATTGTGTGAGYGCAGTAAAAAATGCTGTGGCTCCCAGGTATTCACTGCCAGACTGAGGTCAGGAAAGAAATGGGTGTTGTTTCCCATTAAGGAGTGAAAAATGCGGAGAGAAAGGAGCAGGGGAATGTAAAATGACTGATTTCAATTCTTCAAGACAATTCTCCAAGGCCAGCCTTCTGCACAGACATCTGTTCTTGCGAAGAAAATGCTCCCAACTGTACCTTTTTATCAGTATAAATATTCTCTTTGGGGAGAAAAAAAAGGGTGAAAACAGACTGTCCTGATACATTTGTCTTGCYGAGCTGGGCTGAATTTCATCCCTTTTCTCTCTAGATTCCCCACCACATATGTTATTCTCCCATGGTTGATTTCCTGGCATTTATTCCCAGACAAAACCAGTCACCAGCTGCTGTCTCACACCTTGCACACATGGCCCCATTTTTCACCTGCCCACCTTCTCCCCAAATTCTAAAAGTCTAYGAAGCCCCCCCAAAACCAGGATGATGTAAACCTTGGGTGTGACCCTCACCTGGATCAGGCCCGCTGCTGGGTTTCGCCTCTTCTCAAAGTGCTTCTGTCGATGCTGCTCTTGAACCTTCAGAGCAAACCCTGAACCCAAGATGCCCTGGTGAAGAGAACACAAATTTGCCATTAGCAGGAGTTTAGTTAAGCTTCCACTTAAAATTTGTGGCCAGCTTTCCCYCCAGAGGTTTTATTTCTGGATCATTTTTTGATTGAAACATAGAGGAAGGAAGGAGGCTCCATCCCAGCAGCCATGGCAGACGCTCTCCAAGGGGCAGCAGATTTTGCTGGCACTCACAGGAATTGCAAATTTTCCCAAACTACCTCCAGCCAACTGMTAGAACACAAAAGAACCCCAGAGTGCTGGCATTCAGCAGATTATCCCCACAGGAATCCAGATCCATGCAGCACACTGAAATGCACTGGGGGAATTTGCTGAAATGGTGTAATCACAGAAAAACAGACTGGGTTGGGTTGGAAAGGACCTTAAAGCTAATCTCATTCCAGCCCTCTGCCATGGGTAGGGACACCTTTCACTAGACCAGGTTGTTCAGAGCCCCTTCTAACCTGGCCTTGATGGGGCAGCCACTTCTTCTCTGTGGCAGAGCCACACCAACCACACAGGGAAGAATTTTTTTCTAATATTCGATCTAAATCTACTCTCTTTCAGCTTAAAGCCAGTAATTACCCCAATAAACAGCCCTCTGGGGGAAAAAATGCTTTTTATTGTTTCCACAAATATTTGTGCAGAGCCAAATCTAGAGTTTCCACCCCGTTTGCTCACACACATAGTGCCCAAGTTGGGGACACTCAAACAGGTTTTCCCCTTTTCTCCTTAATTCTTTGATTCAAAACCCACAGAGCATCATAGCCTGGAGGTCTCTGAGTGCATCACACTGCAGCTGTGACAGTGCCACCAGCCCCAGGGATTGGGGACAAGGCCCAGGTGAGCTGAGCCCCCCCAAACCCTCCCACTTACGGCAGGAAGGGCGAAGAAGGAGACGCCGATGAGTGTGAAGGTCGCCGCCAGCAGCCGCCCGTTCCAGGTCTGTGGATATTTGTCCCCGTAGCCGATGGTGGTGAGGGTGATCTGCAGGGGGGAGATCAGTGCCCAGCCCCTG